GGAAAATTACAGGAGCAAATTAAAAAACTTATGTAAATTGAATGACTTTGCAGCTAATAAGATAAGATCTTTATATTGTCATGCCTAACATAGCTTCAAAATGTAAAACTGCTTATTCTGAAAAAAAAAAAAAAAAAAAAAAAAAAAAAATTTACATAGGAAATGTGGTATGAAATAAGGTAGCGAAAAGTCTTGGCACAAATTTTTAGAGGTATACAGAAGAAGTAAATAGCATAGTCGTTCAGCTCTGACTTAAATGCAAGCTTAACAGCGATTTTCCGTCCTTTGTATTAGACTGTCCAGAAGTTGCTGCAGTGGCAAAGTGTATTCACGATTAGTAGCGTTTAGAAGCTGCTGTAGATGGTTGGGTGGGTATTGCAGCGGTGCAAGTCGGCGTCCTAGTACAAGCTTTCTATCAGATGAATACATTGTTAAGAGTGGTAAGTGGTCTTGTTAAGAGTGGTAATCTGTCCGATAGTAGAACACCAATACGTACTCTATTGGGTTTAAATCTGGAGAATGTCTACTCCATCTGATGGATTCCTTTGCATTAAATATAATTGTTCACTAGTGCAGCAGGATGAAGACCAGCATTATCATCCATTAAGAGGAATCAGTTACAGATTGCATTGCTAAACAGCTTGATTTCAGGATGAAGAACCTCATCTCCGTATATTTCAGTATTTATAATTGCATCGATAAAAATGTGCAGATCAGTGCGGCAATTCAAAATGACACCAACCTATACCATGATTTTAACACTTTGCACCAATGCCTTTTATGTTGCCATACGAATGTTTTTTAATTAATTGAGTATGTTTTTGTTCGGAAGCACTCTTTAAATAAAAACGAGATCATCATTAAAGAGAACTCGTGTTAAGTCCGTGCTACTCCAATCACGATGATCTTTGTACCATTGCAACCCCCATTTCACAGACCAAATTAGTAGAAATTTTTCTAAATTAGTTAAATTTTTCTACAACCGGTTGCAAAATTAAAGGCCGGGTAAAGACTCTTGTGGGCAAGGTTGTGTGTGTATATATATATTTGTGTGTACCTATATCTATGTATATATTATATATATGGTTACAAAATTTTTAGAACGTCCAAATTTTTTTAAATCAAACTGATATAGCTTACAAATTTAGCAATTTTTTAATATAGTTTTAATCACAGTACCTTTTAGGATTAATCTGAAGGGAGGGAAACATGAGTAAAAAGATCTTATTCTGTTGTTTTCTATTAGTAATCTTAAGTGTATTATTGTATCTAGCTAATTTTTTTGTTTACTTCAGTTTTTCCCCCCCTCTCAAATTAGTTATTCCATTCTAATAGTTCTGATATTTTTAATCTGTCTACTCAAATCACACTCATAGGGAATTACGAATAGTTTCAAAATTTCTTATTTATATTATAGAATATTAGTACTTTTACAGCAGTATATTTTGCTATATGTTGTTTTTCGAATTTCAATTATTAATAAATTTCAAAGAACTATGAATACAAACTTTCAAGAATCTTGTATACCTGACTATCTCATCTTTAATATTTAATGAGAGAGAAACGATCGTTTTAAAGAATCGTTTCTGTTGTCGGGTAAATCGCCGCCTTCGTTGAAAAGATGGAAATTATGGCCTGCTAATTTTCTTTAAGAAACCCGTGCTAAAAAGAATGGGATAGATAAAAATCGATCGTAATTTCATAGGTGACTTGTTTTGTATCAAACTTTAAATGTAGAAAAGTGGAGCACACAATCCCTGTCCTGTGTGGGGGGGGAACATATTTAATGATGCACAGTTTCACAATGAACGTAAAAGTAACTTCATACAGTTGCTGTGAAACATTACAAGCGGTGTGGTGTTTCGATCTTTGGTTTCAGAACAGTGTGTTGTAGACGCTGTGCACAGTCAATATTTGGGATTAATAATAAATCAAATGATAATTCCGGAATGGATTCATTGATGAATCGTTGAAACGTAGATGGGTCATTCCTTAACCCGATGCTAATTACGTTAAGCTCGTATAACTCAAATTGGCGGCATTATTGCTGTTTTCTTTTTATCCTCTTCCACAACTGGAATCCGAAAGTAAGCTTTAAATAGGTCCATTTTTCAAAATATTTTCATTTATTTTAATATATTGTGAAAATCATCTTTCATGGAATAGGATAACTATCGGGAATAGTTTGTGCGTTTGAACGCTTGTAGTCCCTGCACGGTTCAAACTTCCATCCTTCTTAAAAACGAAATGAAGCAGACTGGTCCATGTAGATTTTGAAGGTCTAATTATGTCGTTTTGTAACATAAATCTTTAATCCTGTTTGGCCAGTTTTAGTTTATTTGCATTTAATTAGCGAGCTTTTGAAAACAAACGTGGGCTTTTAGTAGATTTGATTAACAGACGCTATAAGTTTCAAATAACCAGGTTTGTTAATCCGAACTTGTTTTGTAATCCGATTTTGTTAATTTCGGATATTGTTATAACAGATTTGCGCAGTGGCGTAGCTAGGGTAGGGCAAGGGGGGACACTGTCCCCGGAGCGCAGCATCCAGGGGGCGCTGAATTCATGTTACGAAATTTTAAAATGAAATGTTTTCCATTCTTGGCACACAGAAAGGGGTGGAAATTCTTCAGTTGTTCCCGGGCGCTGAAAACTCTAGCTGCGTCTCTGGATTTGCGAATTTAGAATTTTTGTCAGTCGTGCTTATGCTACCCGCACTTGTTACGCACGTAACATGACTTCGAATGGATGCATCTGTAACGCCATCTATTAACTTTCTATAACACATATCAATAGAAAATTTAAATTTGGTTAAAAAAACTGCACCTAAAATAGCGCGATCCATGTTAGTGTTTACAAAAGGAAATTGGAATGATCGATGTAGGCCTAAATCCAGAGTTAAAATTTTGAAACCCGAAGTGGGTGTTATTGTTCCAATTGCACTATACAATTTAAAAGAATTACATATTTTATGGTTTCATATTTGGTTACAACCGAAAACATCGCATTTCTAAAATATCGTGGTTGAAAATAAAGCGGTTCGAAAACTTTGCAGTTTAAAAACATTGTCGTCGAACAACATATCGTGATTAAAAAAAAGTATCTGCAAATCATCGCATACACGCGTTTTTCAAATCGCATAGTAGCATATTATGTAACTGAATTTCATTATAACTAACAAATCGACCTCCAGAAAATTGATTGCACGCCATACGTGAAAATGTTAACGACACTAAGAATAAACGGAAACAAAACAATATGTAATTTTCATTAACAAATAGGAAAGAAAATAATTTGATCATTAACTAAGCGATTTTTATAGAGGTAGCCTCATGCAGTTTCTTCCTTTTTCTAAGCATTTTTAGACTATATTTCTCATGAAAAATTATATTAAACTTTATAAAAAAAGCTTAAATTATTAATGACTTTTGTTAATTAACTATATAACTCTATATATTTGTTAATTAACTATATAAATTTAAAATTCTGTTAAGCTTTTTAAGTTGCGTTAATTTTCTACTCATTTTAAATTTTTAAATGCTTAAATTCCTTCTAATTTTTTCAGGAAAAATTAATTAGTTCATTCAAATATATGAAATATAGAAGTAAAAAAAAAAATCCTCTTTTCTTCTTGTGCTTTATGAATTTTATACGAACTTGCATTTACAACTTTCAAAACCTGAAAACGTTATCGTTATGCAATGATTTGTATGTACTTTATTTTTTTACCATGATATTTTTGACGACGATGTTTTTAAACTGCGAAGTTTTTGAACCGCTTTATTTTCGACTACGATGTCTTACGCACGATGCTTGTTAGAACCCAGCCTCAGTTGTTATTTTTCTTTTCATAGTTTATCGCTGTAAGAGTGGCAACCATCTGATCTTTGTTGTAGTTTCTCGTAGTTCTATGGATTTTGAGAATAAATATGACGCTGTAGAATTTTATATGTAAAGTTATTTTAAGTTTATTAGGAGAAAGGAGAACGGTTAGTTCTTGCAAATCTCGAACAATGCTTTAAAACTGCGATGTTTTGTACTACAACGTTTTCTCCTTGCGTTGTTTTCTCCGCTTTCGTCCTCCGTTTTCGTTCGTTTCTCCGTTTTCGTCCGCGATGTTTTCGGCGGATACCTGATATTGCCGGAATGATGAATGAGTCAGCATCGCTGTCCACAAGAAAGCGTAAACCGACTGTTTTATTGGTCGAATCTACTGCTGATCGGAGTTTTCCGACAACTTCCAGCTATATGGGCGTTTACATTTATTAGGTTTAACACTTATCACCAAATTTAAAAGTAATAGTAGCAGTATGATCCATTGAAATTCTCTGTCTTCCTTGAATGACTACGACTTTTGCTTTGATTAAAGTCAGTGTCAATATTACTTCTAGACTGTCTGTGAACATTTAGTTCCGAAATTGTTGTTCTAAGTTAGAGACTTTATGAAACAAATCGCAAAATATTTAAAAACAGCATACCTTTATAATTTCTGATTGACAGTCTCGCGAGCTGAAGATAGAAATGTTTCATTCCGTACGCCGTTGCCAATGCTGATTTTCAAATTGTTGGGTGTGTTAATCAAAAATTCATTAAAGTTTTACAAAATATGAAATATAAAACTCGAAATTCAAAATTTGATTGCGCTAGGTACCATCCTTTTTCAACAATGGAAGGTATATATATATAGTACATGCATACGTGCAGATTTTTCATTATTTAATTTCTTTAAATATATTAAAAGGTCTGTAATATTTGGTAGCAACAATTTAAAAAGTGATATGTCATTTATAATAATTCGATGCAAAATTCCATTTCGAGACTAAAAAGCCAGTTTGGGTTAACGCCCTTTTGGGCTGAAAAAGGTCACCTTGAATAATACACTGCTCAAAACAATTCGGGGATATTATGATTTTGGATATAATCTGCAGATGAGGAATTTTCCGTGACTGATGTATGATGTATAGATATTAAAAAAATAAAAGAAGCCACAATTAGAGATATTTGTCGGTAAACAAAAAATGCACAATTTATGCATATAATACAAACAAACAAAAAATGTGATATCTCAGATACAAATGAGTTTTAGTAAGGGGTACGCTTTCCCCTGACCGAAAGAAATATCGCACATCTACAAGGAATGGAATCAGAGGGGCTGGGGTGTTCTCTCCCGCTCCTGTAGAAGAGAGCTTTCAAACTGCTGAATTGTTTCTCATGGTGATAAGCGAGTAACAACCCTTGTCACCTAGAATGTCCCAAACAGGTTCTATTCGGTTTATATGTGGGGAACATCCTGGCCAATCTGTTCGAAGGATTCCTTTGTAAAAAAGGAAACTGTTCACCAGCTCAGCACGATGTGGCTTGGCATTATCATCCGAGAGAATGAATTCATTCTCCGTTGCTTTAGGGAAAAGGACCACAATAGATCTGAGGATCTCATCCTTGTATCCGTGAACGAATACAGGAATATTCTGTAGAAGAGGCTTTCTCCAGATGAAAACCCCGCTATTGTCAGGTTGTACATTAAAGCAGGACACGTCTGTGAAGAGAATGTTGCTCCAGTCATCTCTTCTCCATTGGAGATGCTCCTGTGCCCACTTTCTGCGGGCAGCACGGAGGTCCTGTGTCAAGGAAACATAAACTATCAGTTTGCGAGAATACAAACCCACATGGTGGAGTTGGTTTCGAATAGTTTGAGTCGAAAGTCTGGTATCAGTAGGTTCTGTTGCAAGAAAGTGGCGTTCCTAGTGTTAAATACGATCTTCATTTTGTGTTGTTGCAGGCGTACGACCTTGTCCCAATTATCGGCGAACATTTCCAGTTAATGCCCCCGTTCAAGTTGAGTTAAAATGGAGCCTTCTTTCCCATTCAGTGGGTATTTTCTCCAAAATCCAAGCTTCTAAGTATAGTAACTAATTGTGTAGTTTTTGACTATGGTTCAAATTTTGATTTAAAATTGACTGTTCTATTTATTTTCATCACCACGAGTTAGTTATATTATAGCGCAAGAGAGTGCCTTTGTGTTCTAATTTTTTTTTTTTTTTTTTTTTTTTCAAAGAAAAAAGTAATTTTTAACTTTCTCAAGACTTTGTCGTTGTTTCAGATAAACTCATAATTCGCTTCACGTCTGTTAGCTTTACTGGAATAATTATCATTACCGTATCAAATGAAACTCTAGAACCTCTGGAAAGAAATTACTGGAAATTATCTTCATCACGAAGCGTAGATACTCATCGGTAAATCGGTTTTCAACTGTGAGAAAAGCTGTTCACATATAAACTTATCCCCCCCCGAAAAAAAGAGATTATTCTTCGTGCAAAAAATTCATAACTTACTTTTTTTTTTAGAAATACGAAAAAAATTAATGAAATCTATATCTTAAAATTTTTTAATAAAATTTTATCATATTGTAAATGAAATACCATTCATAGACTTTTTGAATCATGTTCGTTTTCATGAGAATCAAAATAATACAAACTCGAACTTCAAATAACTAAAATCTTGAAATCCTTGCAGCACCGTATTTATAACAAATACATAATTTAATTGTCTACGCGGGCCGCATAAAGTCGCTTGTGCTGCCAGTTTGAGACCCCCGCCTTAAACAAATAACCCTCATTGCACTGCTGTAATGAAATAACTAAACAATGCAAGATTTTTCAACAGTTAAAAAAGGAACCGGATAGGTACGCATCCTTTCGACATAACTCTAAAAATAAATATTTTATTCGAGTCTAAATCATCCGCCTCCCTCCTAAACTGTCGTCTTACACCTGACTGCCTCTGTAACAATATTTATGTGCACAGTTATTATTTTAGTCTCTTTTTAACAGTACCAACTTTTAAAATCTGAAAAATGTATGCATGTAAGTCACAGAAACGGCTTTCCGGACTTTCCATTTTGACAGCTTATTTTATCAATTCAACTCCCATCTTTTCAAAAAAAACTTGCGGATATTTCTAAGAATTAAATTTGCGAGCTTTGACATGTAATCTAAAATTATCTTTTCTGAAATGCCATGATTATTCCCATTCTTCTTTTACGTAACAATAGAGGCTCTATTGAGGAAACAGTTTCCAGTTCTGGTATATTAGAATATTGATAGAATAGCCTTTGATAATTCGGAAGGCATTTTTAGCAGCAGTTCTAACACAGTATTTGAATGGGAAGGGTTTTTCCAAATAAAATTAGCAATCGATGTGTTGGGTTGAAGAAATAATTTAATACGTTTTGGTAGTTAATTTAGTTGTCTTTTAATCCTTGTCGAAGTCAATATTTCTAACCCCGCATCCTAAATTTACATTGAACAATATTTATCCCAGGACACTTTTAAGTAAATATATCAGCATGCTCCTTTAAAAGTGCTCAAGTCTTATAAAAGGACTAACTACATCATAACCTAAAGAATCTAGGTAAAAAAAAAAAAAAAATGTCTGGTATTCTGGAATTATACCTCCCCCACCCACCAAAGAAAAAATTTTTTTTTTTTTTTTCCCTTTCTTTCTTCACGGACTTGGGGTTTCAAAGAGGACTTAGACTGCCGAGGGCTTTAAAATTTTTGAAAAATTTTCTTGGCTAATTTCAATAGATTACACATAAATCTGGCAAAAACATTATCTGTATCATGTATTTTCTACTGTGACTGTTATAGCATTATTTCTTGCAACATATAGCGCTCATTTGCTTTGCTATAACAAATGTACCAAACATGCCGCATTATTTCAGATTACCATTCAGTGCAATACGCATAGTAATTTCAGTGTAATAAACCTCGGATTTGGAGCTGATGTAGGCCTTATGAATAGCGATGAGAATATTAGCTCCTGGCTCAACGGAAAATAAGTAAAAATTCATATTTGTTACTTGTTTGTACAGTATGTTTGAGAGGAGTGTGTTTTCTCTTCGTAAGCGAGTGATGTGGACAAGTGTTTGTACGGTTGCTGTGGTAACCTAAGTTTATTAGTCATGGAAAGTGAATTATTTATTCAGATCATACGTATTATGAACTTGGCGCTTGGATGGGTTGGAGGCACTAAAAGGAAATTAATATATAACCTAGTTTTCAAAATGGCACGTATTCTTCAATATGTTTTAGGGATTAAAACTGAATTTCGGTATCATTCGTAATAGGTATTGGTTTGTGACTCGGGTAATCTCTGGTAAGTTTGAATAATACCCTCCGACCCCATCGTTAAGAAACAAAAAAATCACTAACTTCATTAATGTGATCCATCTCAAATGGGAAAACTTTAAAAGAGTATATATCCCTAACCAACTAATACCATCGCTCGGCCTTAGAGCTTTCTAGAACATCAACCGAGATCAAAAGAGTGCGTGACAGCTTTTGGCGTAAATTCTCCTGCATAATTAAATTTACACACGCTCATTTCTGATATTTTTTAATTATTATTTTTATTTATTTATTTATTTCTGTGTGTGTGAGATTTTTTTAAAAAAATATTTTATCAATTTTTAGCACTAGTTGCTATTAGTCTCGACATTCACATTTTGTCCGTAGCTCTTTTGTGTTCGAATTACTTTTCAGGTTGTTGCCACCCAATGTTATCGCAATGTATTATTTTAAAAAAATCTGATGTGGACACCACGACTTCATTGTACGGCCTATTAAATAATACATATTTGTTGCTGCACTTCATTTAAACTTATTTCTTCAAATTATTCTAACTTAATTAACCGATTTCTCAAGGCTACATGAAAATGACACAAAAAACTGTAAATTCTGAAATTAAATATTTAAAATTAAACTTCTAATTTTATTTTTTCATAACAAGTATAAAATTTAAAAGTAATGTAGAAGAATTCAAAATATCTGGATTTGCGATCGGATATTTAAAAAATCCGGATAATCGGACTTTTTTTTTTCCCCCTCGGGGAGTAGTTACGCATTTCCTGTAACGGTAGTGAGCTGTCCCTCCTCGTCTCCTCGTTTATTGGGTTTTACTTCAACAAAGATTATAAATTTTTAACTTTAAAAAACATAAAACACGTTTTTTCCCAGAAACAATTAAGCAGTGAAATATATTTAATTTTCCTAAACATAAAGCTGGTAAATCCTAAATTTACAACTCAGTTAAAGTCTGTACACAGTACGTAATTATTTTTGCTATACATATTTACAGGCTATTTATATACCGAACACTATAGACAAATAAATTTGCCGTGTCATGTACAACCAGATAAGTTCGTGGAAATTTTCGACATGTTCAGTGAGGAATCAGTTTCCTTTTGTATTATGAGGGGTTTTTCTTTTTATTATTATTAATTTACTCATAATGCTTTACGCCAACGGTTCTCAACTTTTTGACTAACGCGTACCGTCTAGACATAAATTGTTTACTACCATCACACCACTCTTAAACAAAGTTCAGATCGCATAAATTTGCGAGTGTTAGAGAAAAAACTAAATCAGGATGTTGGGGTTTTAATTTTTGAATTTAACTGTTAAAATTATTTTGCTTCTTTGCGTACCACCGTTTTATCTCTTGCGTACCACCGGCTGAGAACCCTGCTTTACGCGATTATAAGTAATAAATACGCTATATAGGTGAGCGTATACGAGAACTTAAAAAAACATATGTTCATGGATATTTTATTATTTTCCGAATGCGAATATATATTGTTAGGTAGAAACCGTATTTGTGTATAAAATATTAATCCAATTGTATATTAATAATTAATCTAAAAATATTTTATTTTATTTATTTATTATTATTTTTAGCAAAATATTTAAAAATTCATGGAAGTAACTGTAATTAATTAAAAAAGTATTCAGTGAATCAATTTCAGAATAATAAGTTACAACAATGTTAACTTCAGAGTGAGAGTAATTGGGTAGCAAACAACTGAAGTCATTTATCTCCGCTAATTACGTGGCGCCAGGTACAAATTAACAGTTAAATGTTCTATGTAGGATAGTATTTTTATACTATCTCAATCAATAAAGTAATTAAAATCACGCAAATAAATTTTTGGTGTTTCAGCAACTTCATGTTAAGTGTGTGAAACCTGAACATAGCTCATGTTGTATAATGCAAACGGATTTAAAGCATCTCTCGACCATTCGATGCGACATGGCAGTTTGAGCGAAGAAGCTTTTTTCTTTACTCAAACAGATCCTTGTCCTGCCATAATCGCTTTATTTTCCAGATGCCACACCCTGTCATCGGGCTGTCGGTTGCCGAGCGGTGAAGTCGCTGAAGACTGGTAATTCGACATGTATTGAAATCTCGAAGAAGAGCTGGCTGTATGATAGTTTTTATGACTTTTTGAAAAGTGTGACGTGGATGCGAACTAATTTTCCTTTAAAAGGCCCTGAACGAAAACATCTTTCTCCACAGGCAGACCTCACTTCTATTCTGAAAAGAGGCTTTTTTTTTTTTTTTTTTTTTTTATTTACACCTCGAATGTAGCTGTTTTATTAGAAAGCAATTTCCGCCGACTTCTTGAACGTAGGAATTAACAAGCTTAATTGGATTTGGCTAAGTATAGTCCCACTACACTATACAGTTCGCCCCCAATAAGCATTTATGCCATTTCCGGTATTCGAACCCGGGTCTTACGATACGTCAGCCAGCATCGTTAACAACGCGGCATGACTAT